GAATTATTATATATATATATTTTAGACAGAATGACTTTAATTTGTTAACATTTCAAACTGCTGGGTTACATTGATAAGCCCTAATTAAAACTCATGTATTGCATCTCAATTGGATTAACTTGCAAGTTTCCCAGTTCGTGATCTACTGTTTATAGATAACCTTTTTTTTTCTTTTAATTTCAATTTTGGGAAAGGTCAATTATGAATTTTTACAAGGCAAGAGCACTTTAACTATATTCAGGGAAAAAACACTCTAATTCACTGGAAGTAATATTAATAAGAGACAGTGTAATAATACTCATATCTAAGTCTCATATCATTAAGTATATTGTGTAGGTTAAGGACCCCTAGAGTCAAAAATTGGTTTCTCAGGGGGCTCATTTATCCTTCAGAGTGATTTCTTGGAAGATGTTGGACAGTGTTGGTGAAGCCCTTCTGTTTTTTAAGTCCATCAGAGACAAATATGGTAGTTTATAAAAAGTGCCAAATGAATCAAGGTCCTTGTGGTCCTGGCTGTTCCTGATTCTATTCCTGAACTACGAGCTAAAGATACTAAATTAGCAAGCTGACACCTTCCCTGATCCTAGCACTATAAATTATAAGAGAAAGGATAATCCTTGCCTTGAAGGGGATGATGGTATGGTTGGGGAGATGCAACTCACTGATACGAATATTATAAAATATCCAATTCAATCCAACAAGCATTTAAGTACCTACTATGCATTAGGTGCTAGGCATACACATCCCCTCCACCGTTCACTCCCCATGATGCTTTGGTGATACAAATGATCAAAGGAAAAACAAAAGTAACTGCCTTCAAGTGGCTTATATTCTACTGGCAGGATAAAACAACTAAGTAGATGAGTTTATGCAGTATGATCTTAGGGGGAGGAAAAGAACTATAATAAGTAAAGGGGCCAGGCAAAGCTTTCTGGAAGAGATAGTGTGTTCATTGAGCTTTGAAGGAGAGGGATTCTGCAGTAAAGTCTGTATTGAAATATTCCATCAGGTGATACAGATTACAAACTTTACCATAGAATAGAGAAGGGAGCCAATGGCGTGAATTTGCTGGCTAACCGTTAAATCATCTGCATGAAGACTTTGTGATTGAAGGTGTGCTCTGAATGAACAGTTATTGCAAAGCCCTTGCAGAGAAAATGTTAATGAGGCAACATGAACTAGTTGGAATGCGCTTCGATTTATATCTGGGCTCTGGTTCTGATACTTCCTTCCTGTGTGATCTCTGAGCCTCAGTTTCCTCAAAACAAGGAAGTTATATTAGATTGCCTCTAGGACCCCTTCTCCTTCTAAATCGGTTATGATCTATGACCCTGTGACCTGCCAGAATTAAATAAAACATTGCTTTCTCCTCACCACATGACAGACAAAACAGGGAGCCAGTCTTCAGTTTCCAAATCCAATGTTTTCTATTCAACAGTGTTGCGTACACATCTTTGCCCTCCCCAATTCTTCCCATCAGCTACTCCCCTCAAAGACGAACTTGCACCACCTCAACACCCCTCCCGCTTACTTTAGCACCTGTACCCTTTAATTACTATTGCTGTCGCCATTGGCAAATTCCCCATAGTCCCTAGTTCCCCCAAATGATTGAGTTCTAGCCCTCTTCTGACCGCTCTTCCCCAGTGGGGCTTTCTTGGTACTTCTCACTTCCTTCCTCATAACCTTATACTTGAGGCTTCCCCTATGTCTGGAATGTACTCCTCCCCACTGCCTCTTGGTTTCTTTGGTTTCCTTCAAAGCATAGCTCAGGTATTACCTTTTTCACCTTCTTCACCTTCATTATCCCCAGATGCTAAAGCATTCTCTCCCAAAATTCCTTAAAATATATACACATTTATTCATATATTTACATGTTGTCTATCCCATTAAAATATAGGTTCATAATATCATAAATATGGAGCTGGAAGAGTTCTTAGAGGCAATCTAATTAACCCTCCCATTTCGCAGATGAGAGAACTTAGTCCCAGGAGGAGAAATGACTTGTCCAGCCAGGGTCATAGATTGTGCTGAAAAGCACCATGCAGGTAATCTAGGGTAACCGCCTCATTTTATAGATGATGAAACTGAGACCAAGGGAATTTAAGTGACTTACCCAAGTTCACACAGATAGTAATCATTAGAAGCAGGATTTGAGCTCAAATATCTTAAAGTGGTCTCTATGTTCACCATACCATTGTCCATCTCCCTATGAAGCTTAAACCACTTAAATGATCTAGGATTTCCACATTTGACTCCCCTACTCAGTCACATACAGTAGCTCCCTATTGTGTCTGTAACACATAAAATAAATAAATATAAACTCCTCTGTTTAAAACCTTCACCACCTGGCCTTAACCTAGCCTCTTCCTTTTCCAGCCTCATCACTCCCTTCAGCCTCCCTCAGAGATTTGGCAAAAGTGCCTTTGCTCTGTGCCTCACACATGAGACTGTATTTCCCGTCTCTGAACTTTTGCACTGAAGGCTCCCCCATGCCTCACCAACCCCTCGAAGAGGTCCTTTCTCCTTTTAATACAAAGTTCTCATGCCACCTTCTATGGGAAGTCTTTCCTAATCCATTCTGCTGGCAACCTCCCTTGTTCCCACTAAAGACCACATACTGAATTTTTTGGAGTTATTTTATATATATATATATATATTTTCTATAATACTTCTATATGTATTTATCTTTGAAGAAGGTAGGTGATTTAAATAGATAGAAGGTATCAGGAAGATCTGAGTTCTAATCAGACCTCAAACACTTGCTAGATGTGTGACCTTGGGCAAATTAATTGACCTTTGTCTGCCTTAGAGCTGGTAAAGGAAATGGCAAACCACTCCTGTATCTTTCTCAAGAAAACCCTAGATGAGGTCACAAAGAATCAGACATGACTGAAAATGAATAAACAAGAACAACAAGGCCTTAGATGGGTGAGAAGGGAGGTAGACAATAGCACCCCTGACTCCCCAACAAAAACACACATACCATTAATCTCCCTGTGCTGGACACTCTGAGGAAGAGCCTTTGTTTGACAAGAAGCTATGAACTCATTTCACTGAGGCAGCTAGACTTATTTTTTTTAGCTTGCTGCTCTGATATTTGTTTAAATTCTTCTATTCAGTGACCAAATACCCTCCCCCTTCTATGCTCTCATTCCCCAATCATACTCCAAGCCTGAAGGAGTGGATTCCTTTCATCTGGTGTAAATTTGCTAAGACCAAGTATAAAAATTGTCTCGAATAGACTCCTTCTAGCAGATACAATCAAAGAAAATGAGCAGCCTTGTTACTGAGAATTCGGATGGCACCTTTGGGCCCCTTTGACTTCACACATGTGTTCTCCAGCACTATTGTGTGGTGGAGGGTCTATGTTTGGCCACCATTGCTAATGCTGCCAGGAATTGTTTGGCTTAAAGGTAGCCTAGTGGTTGCAATGTTTTCATCATTGTAGAAAATCAGTCCTTTTTGGAGAAACTAACTTCCATTTCTGAGTTCTCCCGGTTTCCTTTTACACTTAGCTCAAATCCCATTTTCTACACTCTTTGTCCTTCTCTCTCTGTTTGATTATCTGCAATTTCCCTTGTCTATGTTTTGTTTCTATATGGTTGTTTGTAAGTTTTCTCACCCAACAGTCTGTGAGATCCTTGAAAGAAGGGATGGAATCTTTTTTTGTTTCTTTGTTTTTACACATCTTTGTATTCCTATTACTTAACAACAGTGCCTAGCACACGGTAGGTGCTTAATAAATGCTTGTCGATTAGATGACTGATTTCTCTGACACTACCAAAAACAAATCCATTCTTTCTGGGAAAAGGGTAATATTCTCAAGTTGTTCCCAACTACTGATGTCTTTCTTTCCCACACTACTTTCCAGCTACTCTCTAGACAGAGAGATAGATACAAATTAGATAGACATAAATAAGAGATGTGTGTATATGCATACACTGCACACACGTGTACACATATGTGTATGTATATAGGTACATGTATGTGTACGAACACACACAAATACAGAAACGCACATGATACACATCTACATGCATGTTTTAGATGTGTCTACATATGCATACATATATGTTCACACACATATGCATATATGTGCGTAAATAGAGATAGAGATGGCAGCTAGGTGGTGCAGTACATAGAGCACTGGGCCTGAAGCCAGAAACACCTGAGTTTCAATCCTGCCTCAGGAATAGCTGTGAGACCTTGAGCAAGTCACGTGCCTCAGTTTTTTTTTTCCATCTGTAAAGTGGTAATAATAATAGTACCTAACTCCCAGGATTGTTGTGAGAACCAAATAAAATAATAATATTAAAATGCTTAGCACAGTGTCTGGTACATATAAAGTGTTATATAAATATAAGCTAATTGCTATTATTTTGGAGATCTTATTGACTAAATTATATCTATCTATCTATCTATCTATCTATCTATCTATCTATCTATCTATATCTGATGCAGATAGCTAGTTATTTACATATTTCCACCCCATTAGAATGTATAAAAAATGCCTTTGCCTTTCCTTATATGCCCAGGGCTGAGTACAGACTCTGGCACATAGTAAGTTTTAATGTTTGATGACTAACTCACTGAATAAATACAAAGCCAAAGCTAGCTATTTCTGCACATGGGGTAAATGTCCTTACTTAGTCACCAGAAGATTATAAGTTTAGCAGCACGTGGTTGGTGGGATGGTGGGGGGTAGGGAAAGGATGAAGAGTTGGGAAAGAAACTTACGGTAGGTTACTATTAGGTTTAATATAACAAGTGGAAGAAGTGCCCCTAGGACAAGGCTACTATCCTGAGCAACAAGGTAAACTGGAGAAGAAACAGTGTCTAATTTTCTGCTCTGGAGCAAAGCATTGATTGCCCTACCCTAGTTATGGCTCTGAGAGGATGTAACCACTTTGCACTCTCTCCTTGACTAGTTACAAAAAATAGTCAGTCTAGGGTCTCCTTGCTTCTTATTCACATTTTATATTTCTCTGAAACCCACACAGGCCATCATGGCTCAACTACCCCAAGAGGAAAAGGCAAAAATAGCCGAGCAGGTGGAAATCTTCCATCAGGAGAAGAGCAAGCTGGATGCCGAGGTGGCTAAATGGGATGACAGTGGCAATGACATCATTGTCCTGGCCAAGCAGATGTGTATGATCATGATGGAAATGACAGACTTTACAAGGTAAGGCCCCATGCCATTCTCATCAAAGACAGTGATTGGGAGCTATCTGATGTAGCACATCTCTTCCCTGGAGTTGGCTCACTGAATTGCCAATTAGCATCATGCCAGTGGCCAACTACAGCAGAACAACATATTCAATTAGATGCCATTACATTTGTCAAGCAATTATTTAACCCCTGTTGGCTACAGAACATTTACATTCATTTCTACCTGGCTTGATATTGGTTGTCAGCTCAACTAGCCTGTTAAATTTCTGGAAACAGGGAAAGAGACTCCTCGCCTGGGCCTCAGTATCATAATTTATTCAGTGGGACTAATGATGCTATAATATCTCCATTTTTTGCTGTGAGACCCAAATGGGTATATACTTCTTTGCAAGCCTTAGATAGCCATACACATATGGGTTATAATGATCTTAGATTTAGGGCTAGAAAGGATTTCAGATGCCGTATATATCAACTCAATTTTGCAGTTGAGGAAATGGAGACCTAAGAAGATTATAACCCAAATCACACCAATAATGAGCACCAGAGGCAAAGTTCAAACTCAGGTTCTCTGCCCTTTTTTGCTTTGAAACCTCAGTTACCTATTTTGCTAAATGAGGATAATCTCTGAACTTTCCCTATCACATAAAGGTGAGTTGTACTTAACCAAGCCAATCACATCTTTAGTTACCTGGAGGATATGTTTTATGGTAATAAAAGTGGTGTCATCCAAACTTATCCAAACCAGTTACTTCTAAATCCAAAACAATCTGAAAAACATTTGTTAAATGCTTACTATAGACTAGGCACAGTGGTACTTGCTAGGAATACAAGCACAAAAATGAACCACCTACAGTGAGTGTATATTCTACTGGTATGGTTAACACAGCGTCTGTCACATAGTTGATGCTTAAGAAATGTTTGTCTATTCTTGGTTAATGAGTAGATACCAGTGATCAAAGTTGAAAGACTTAAGCAATGCTAAGATATCACTATTGTGGGGACCCTCTGGATCCTTAATTGGCTCTGGAAGGTGTCAACAAAAACAGGATGAATGTAGATGGAAGTTATGAAAGAGATGTGAGGTCCAACATCAGCGGTGTCTGGTGGAGGGAAATCTATTCACTGTGGCTTGTTTTAAACTTCAGCAGAGCGGGTGACTGCTGGATACTCATGGGACCTTCACATGCCATTGTGTTCATTAGAGGGACTGATGAGAGAACCCATTGTATCTTGCTTTGACAGCTTCAGGTCATCAAAAATAATAGTTTAGCTAAAAATCTGAACACTTTTCAAAAACAACATTTTTTTAAAAACAAATCTAAGTTATCAGATCAGCCTGTATTACCCCACTGCAAGGCTTAGGATGATTCAATCTGCTTCCTTTCAGCATTTTAATGGCAGCTGGGCATTATGTAATCCATTAATGACATGCTTGATAGAAAATAATTATTTTGGGCAAATAATTAGTCTAGTCATGTTGCTAGTGGGGAATGGGAGCGTTTCATAGGGTTCTGAAGATGACGTATTGTTATAATCAATTGAGACACATACATTTACAAAGTCTCATCTTTTGGTGTTAAATCAGACAGAGATTGCATTAATAAAAATATTCTTGTAAGAATTTCAGAATCACTGGTTGACACTGTTCGGTTATCACATGCCCAGCCAGTAGAATGTAAACTCCTTTAGGGCAAAGAATCTTCTTCATATATAGCTTTGCATCTTTGTGGTTCAGTCATGCAATTCCTTGTGACTACATTTGGATTTTCTCATCAAAGATACTGGAGTGGTATGTGATTTACTTCTCTAACTCATTTGACAGATGAAGAAACTGAGGAAAACAAGATTGAGTAACTTGTCCAGAGTCACATAGCTAGTGTTTGAGGATAGGTTTGAACTCAGAAAGATAAGTCTTCCTTACTCCAGGCCAGGCACTCTGTCCCCTGCATCACCTAGCTGCCCTTTATATCTTTAGCCATTAACACACTACCTTGTGGATTGTAGATGCTTAATGAATGCATTGGATTGAATGGAATTAGTTTGCATTGTGATGGTGCATTATGTATTTAGAACATGCATAATTCCATGAAGAAAATTAAGAGAAACAAAATTATGATACCATGGAAAGCATGTTGAACTTGGACCAGAGAAGACTTAGGGTGTGATCCTGCACTTTTCACTTCCACCTCTGTGACCTTAAACAAATCCCTTCACTTCTCTAGGAATGACATTTGGGATGCTATGATGCTTACCTCCACAGCAGACAAACTCTACATTGTTTGTTGGTTTGTTTTGCTTTGTTTTCCACATAGCTCTTCTGTACTTTCTTTAATCAGGCTTTTCTGATCCCTTAAGCTCTTAAGGCTCATTCCCTCTTGGAATAATTTTCTGAATTCTTATTTGGTCTATGTTTTTGTTTTTTTTTGCATTTAATTATCTTTCTCTGTATCAGATCCTTGAAGGTAGGAACTATCTCATTCTTACCTTTGCATTCTCAGTGTTTAACACAGTGCCTGGCACATTGTAGTTGCTTAATAAATGTTTATCAAATTTTACTGGGCTTGAAAAACAAAACTCTGATTACTGTATGTTTTTGTTTAAATATTTTGGGTTATTTGGAAGATTACCCTTTCCTACAGGGACAGGAAGAGTGAAAGAAAAGAAGGAAGAATAATTAATAATAATAATAACAACAAATAATGTTTACATAGCCCTTTAAAGAGTGTAAAATACTTTGTATATGAGGAGAAAGACACAGACCTGTGATTTTCATTGGCATAGGTCTCTTCCAATGACAATAGTCTCTTTGCCAGTGTAAGTTATATCTTCTCACAACATATTATGCTGGAGGTGCCTATGAGAAAGGTGTCACACCACACCAGACTGCACCATACCAGTTGTGGCCCCAACCAGATTAAAACTGGTTCCTACCTGCTTTAAATGTGTCGATGTATTAATAACAAAAAATGTATAGAAATATGTGGTGAGGCTTGCAGATATCCTTCTGTACAGTTAAGTGACTTTTGTTTCAATTTGAGTTTGACAGCACTGGTGTAGACCAACAAGATATTAAGTGACTTGTCCAGGATGACATGTACTGGCCCACTACCTCTTGCTTTACAAATATTATCTCATTGGATCCTCACCACAACCCTTTAAGATAGATGCTATCATTATACCCATTTTATAGATGCAGAAACCACAGCTAAGAGATTAACTTCAATTCAATTCAATATTTATTTAGTTCCTACTCTGTGCCAAGCACTGTGCTAAGCACCAGGGAAATGAAAACAGGACAATCCCTGCCCTCAAAGTGCTTGCAATCCAATGGGGGGGAACATGTAAACACATATAGACAAAGCAAGCTATATATGGGATAAATAGAAAATAATTAACAGAGGGAAGGCACTGGAATGAAGAGGGGTTGGGCTTCCTGCAGTAGATGTTGTTTTAGGGGGGACTTAAGGAAAGCCAGAGAGGTTGGCAGTTGGAATAGAGGAGAGAGAGCATTCCAGGCTTGGGGAACAGCCAGAGAGAATGCCTGGAACTAAGAGATGGAGTGTCTTGTTCATGGAACAGCCAAGGAGGCCGGTATCACTGGATTGTAGAATATATGTCAGGGAGTCAGGTGTAAGAAGACTGCAAAGGTGGGAGAGGTCAAGGCTATGAAGGGTTTTGAATGTCAAACAAAGCATATTATATTTGTTTCTGAAGGCAATAGGGAGCCACTGGAGTTTATTGAGTGGGGAGGGGTGACATGATCCAACACGGATGTTAAGAAAATCACTTTAGTGGTGGAATGGAGGACAGCCTTAAGTAGGAAGACCATTGAGGCAGACAGACCCATAGCAGCTATTGCAATAATCAAGGCACGAGGGGATGAGGGCTTGCACCAGAGTGATAGCAGTGTCAGGGGAGAGTAAGGGGTATATTTGAGAAATGTTGCGAAGGTGAAATGGGCAGGCCTTGGCAAGAGATTGGATATGGAGGGGTGAGAGACAATGAGAGATCCAGAATGTCTCCTGGGTTCTAAGCCTGAGAGATGGGGAGGATGGTATTGTCCCCTACAGTAATCAGGTCCAAGGTTATGCAAAGAGCTCCAGTGTTTCTTGCCTTACAGGAATCATCTCATTTCATTTTCACAAGAGTCCCATGAGGTTAATGTTCTTATTATCCTTAGTTTCCAGATGGAGAAACTGAAGCCAAGTGTTCAGTGACTTGCTTAGGGTCACATAGATAGCATGTGCCAGGAGCAGTATTCAAACTCAGCTTTTCCTGGCCCTATGTCCAGCCCTCTATCCACCATGGTTGAATGCAGATTTCAGGTAGAAGAAGAGTGATCTTTGTTCTAAGCCTATAAAAATGGATTGTCTCAGTGACAGTATGAGGGAAACAATTTCTTCTCTCTTCAATCAGCAAGGTTGACCCTGCTTTAAAACTGGATATGCTGACTTCTTGACTTCTCTATGGGTAGCCCTGTGTATATGCAACTCAAGGTCCCAAGCAGGGGGCTAAACTCATCTCCTGCTCTTCATTCAGAAGCCACCCCCAGTTCCATGGCCATGCACTGCCCCACCCCCAACCAGGGCTGCCTCTGACACAAAATAAAGAGGTCCAGTTGATTGAAACACATCATTAGAATTGGATTCCATATCCCCAAACCAAGTGATTACAGTCCATTTGTGTGCTACGGTATTCTTTCCTCTGATTATCTTATTCTTCCCCTCTTCTAATTCATTAATTTGGTTCAGTAATCTACAAGACATTCACTCCATTATTATTGAAAATTAAAGTGGTTCTGCTACATTGTTTGTGCACTAACTTCTTCATGAGGGTCACTATGGACCTTTACCTGTGGCGCAAACTCAAAATTCTGCTTCCATTGCAAAAACACTAAAGGGAAAATCAAAGGTGAATTCCTTCTTTGCATTTTGGTTGCCAAAAATAAACAACTCGTGCTGGTCATGCCTTGTGTTACAAAAAGGATTAAAGAAAAAAAAAACTGTCCAAGGA